GAAGAGCTAGCACCTAGGCTAATTCATCCTTTGACTGGCCAGATACCTTTTGTGCCCCTATGTGAACTTTGTTTGGGGATTTCCCTAGAAGACAAAGGCCTGTGCAAAACTTGGTTCAGGAACCTCGGAAAACTATGAATTGAGTCTTTGAGCACGACTTTGCCTTTATGGAAGCCTCATTCAAATTGTGTCTGAGCATATGGTAATCAGCTGACTAAAGGGTAAATATAGAGAAAAATCAAAATGCCCTGGGTATAGGGAAGGTACTTCAATTCCTTGAAGCTGAGCCTGCCTGCAACCGTAAGGGTTGAGTTTTCTTTTGACAGACCCTCGTGAATCCACACCGTTTTGTTAAGTCTGCTCCTTGCAGTCCTTCACCCTCAGATGCAACATGACGGTCCATCTCAGCCTGTGTGGAAAGCACTGGAAAGAGGGAGGGGCTCGGACCAGTTTAAGAGCTTTGCGGAGAAAAGTGGTTTGCCTAGTTTATACAGCTAAGAACACGCCAAGGATGGACCACGGGAACAGAAGCTTCCCGCCCTCCTCTAGGGCAGGGTCTCCCTCTCTCTTGCTGTCTCATTTGGCTGTGTGTGGATGTGTTCCTGCTTTGCATGTGGAGAGTGTGCTACGGAGTGGACGATAAATAACGCGAGTTTCTTGTTCAGACCCCTGGAGGAAGGTGAAGTTGTACTTCAGTTCTGCCTCTGGCAGCTTTCCAGATGTGTGACTTTGCGCAGCTGAGCCTCGGTTACCCCTTCCAAAGCAGCCAGATGCCCGACATGTCCAGTGATATTTGGACATAAATCCCTATTGTGAGAGTTAAACAAAGAGGCAGTTTAACAAACCCAGTACCCTGGGACTTAAGCAGTGAACATCAATCTAGAAATGGGAAAGCTGACAGAAACAGCTGCCAGAGTCTAAGGAACTAGCTGGAGGCTTTCCTGTTCCTCCCCTTCTGCTGGGTCATAAATACCTTCATGGCCAAGGTGCTCCCCTCTTTTCTGCTCCTTGGCTCCACATTCTCAGGGAAAAAAAAAAAAAAAAAAAGCGTGTGCTAGACTCCAAGAGTCCAAAGCCTGGAACTCGCTGGAAGGAGTTCTGCTTGTCCAGGATTGTCTGTTGGAATCTCATCATAGTCTCTGGAAGGATGAACAATGGGAAAGAACCACATATATTGTCCAGCTGATCTGAATTTCCCAAAGAAACCTTTTGTAAGAAATGGCCACTATACAAGGAGGTGGCCAGAGTGTCGTGTCATTTCCCTTGTTCTTGGTGGGTTTTGCCACTTTGGCCATGAGCAGCCCTGGCTATATAACTCCAAGGAAAACTGATTCATGTACATATTATTTTTCCACCAAATTCTCTAATATTTCTAAGTTTTCTCTTTTCACTGATGGCAAAGCTCCAGTGTGAGGCTTGCCTTGGATGGTCAGAGCTCCAGAAGTAGCATAGACCTTTTCTCCTAGTGATTAAATGTTTGGATAAAGACCCTAGAATCTAAAGTGTATCAATCCACTTGGAGAACGGTTTGAAGCATATAATTAGAAATAGTGTTTGGGCTACAGACCAAATGCCAAGATGCTTTTTTATACCTCAACTCTACACAAGAGATTTTTCTGTATCACTGAATAAGTGTCACTAAATTAATCTTTAGTGCCTACCCCTGGTGTATTATATCGGGGAAAGAAGAGATGATTACATCACAGTCCTTATCACTGGAAGTTTAGAGTGCTATTCAGATATGAACACAAAATACGGGACTTAGTATGGTCCACATTCTTACCTTTAATACAACATGCTAAGAATGTGGATCATACTAAGTTGAATTCAGCATGCTCTAGTAACACAGGAACTGAACCTTCTGGCAGGACAGAGCTAAGAGACCTTTGGAGAAAAGACACGGAGGGAATCAAAAGCCTACAGTTAGTAGCCCACAAACAAACTACTGGCTCCCAGCTGGGACATGTCTTTCAAGCCTTCTGGGTATCATACCTGTGCACAACCACAACATAACAATAGATAATCCACTTAGGTAGCCCCTCAGGTTCTTCTGAACACTGGAATAACCTGATGGACTCAAATATTTCTATATGGCCCCAGCTTTGAGGGACTCTACTTAATTGGTATAGTGGGCTATACCTAACCTATGATGTCTGGCGTAAACAATGGGATTTGCCAAAGTCTCTCTGATGTTTATATTCTGAAACCAAGGCTGGGAACGATACCTTTAAAGGTGCCTCATGAGGAGGGGTAAGGTTATTAGGTGGAGCTCCATGTGGTATTGGCATGCTCATAAGACCCTGGAAAAATAGGATTTTGTGTTATCTTGGTGATATGCTTCCCTAACAAGCACAATCCTACTTGCCTTTAAAGTTGGGTATAAAATTTTGAAGCCCATTTCATGGTTCCTGGTTTATATGATCTGTGACAGAACCCCATATTTGCCTTTCAGTTGATTTCTTTGCTGATGCTGGAACTCCCAAAGCAGGATCCCACACTTTGTTATCTAATTTCTCATAAAGAACCATTCTTGAACTTTATGGTATTATCAAAGACTAAATTAACAACAACAACAACAACAACAAAATCTGCAACGACCAGGCCTAGCCCTTTTTTACACTCATGGCTAAGGAACTTTGATACCCACTAATTCTCAGCCAGGAATGATGTCCCACCTAGGTGCAGTTGACAATGGAGACAGTTTCCATTGTCATCTGAGTGGTGTGGGAAGGAATATCATACAATTGCTGTCTAGGGGGTAGAAGCAAAGGATGGTGCTGAATGTCTTGTAAGGTACAGGATAAGACGGCCTGCTAATAACCAGGTGAGGGTGATGCACACCTTTAATCCTAGCACGCGGGAGGCAGAGGCAGGTGCATCTCTATGAGTTCGAGACCAGCCTGGTCTACAAGAGCTAGTTCCAGGATAGTCTCCAAAGCCACAAAAAAAAAAAACCCTGTCTTGAAAAACAAAACAAAACAAAAAAAGAAAGAGAAAAGAAAGGGCTAATAAGTCTTAAGAACCAAGTGCCACAGGAACCTTGGGACAGTAATTTGGCACTGTAAACTCTGTTCAGTTCCCATCTACAAATGACAAAGTTAAGACCCACAGGTCACAGCACAGGGACAGACATGTCAGGGAGAAGATGCTTAATTGCATATAGCAAAGTATAAAACCTATACTGTGTCCCAGAACACTGGATGATGTACTCTTATGGGCTACTTTTTTTCAAAGGTGAAAGAAAGAAATGCATGAAAGAAAAGAAGAGAAGGAAGGAAGGAAAGAAAGAAGGAAAAAGAATTGAAGGAAAGAAAAGAATTGAAAGAAGAAAGAAAGAAGGAAGGAAAGAAAGGAAGAAACAAAGAAAGAAAGAAAGAAAGAAAGAAAAAAGAAAGGAAAGAAGGAAGGAAGAAAGAAAGGCAGGAAGGAAGCTATGGTTTGAGACAAGAGCTACTGGAAACATAAACTGCTGACATTTCTGTTGAGACAGGTAACAAATGAGAGCCTGAAACTGCACTTTGCATCCCAGTTCAAAGAACAGTCAAAGCACAAAAGCGCTCATCCAGAGCCCTGAAGAGACATCCAATCATCTCTCTTTTTATTATATTTGGAATGGGTCTTGACAGAAGCTCCAATTCCCTTTGACTTCTGTTTATAAGTCATCAACAGCTCAGGCGCACTGGCAGCAGTGTTTCATCATAAGAAAGGAATTCTGGAAAGAGAAGATCTTCAGACGCTTCTTAGGCTCTCCAAATCAGCTTAGATTTTTGAGCTGACCTCCCTCCTTTTAAAACCTTTCTGGAGGAACAAACAGTGTACTCAGACTGCAGCGGGAGATTTAATCAGCGCGTTCCGTAAGCAAATGTGATACTAGTTTATTTTTGATCGTGTTTAACCAGCCAGGACTTTTGCTTGCCCCAAACATCTGATGCCTTTGAAATGAAAGGAATAATTCTCACTGTGCAACAACTCAGCCCGTGTTCAGCTGCTGTTGATGCTGGCGACAAGGGAGTTGTTTGGAAGACTTTTTTTTTTTTTTTCTTACACAAATAGGATCATCTGAAGTTTCTTTTTTCTTCATCTTCTTCTTCTTCCAACCAAGTTAGTGTGAAAGGCCATCAACAGTCTGTCAACATAAGTGAGAAGAAAAAGGCCTCCTAGAGGAGGAAGAGAAATTTCTTTTAGAAAAATTAATATTTAACCTACATTTAAAATCAAACAGGGCTGCCACATTCCAAGACTGAGTGTTTCTTTCCAGTTTTCTTAGTAGCTCCATCCCCACGCTTACCTGCATTCTTGATGGAGCTTTAAAATTCCAAACTAAACAAACCCTGGACACACTCCACCTCTGTGCTCATGTCACGGAGACAATCTGACTCCTTTCTTTGGGAGGACTCGTATTTTGCTAAACAACAAAAAGGGAGGAGTATAAATAAGCATTGCTAATTATTCCCAAGGTAATGTAAGTGGCTAAAAGCATGATTCACTTGGAAATGCAGTCTGACTATCATGCCCAGGCTGTTTTGTCACAAGTACTGACTGTCGCTTAACTTTCAAGAGTCCCTTTGAGTAAAGCACTATTTAACTTTTTGTGGGTTTTTTGCTTGTTTGTTTACTGTTTGTTGTTTGTCAATTTTCACAAGCTAGAGCTACCTGGGAAAAGAACTTAAACTAAAAAATTACTTTCATTAGATTGGCCTATAGGCATGTTTGTGGGGCATTCTATTAATTAATGATTCATCTGGGAGAGCCCAGCCCACCATGGCTAATGCCATCCCAGAGTACACAGTCCTGGCTTGTATAAGAAAGCAAACTGAGCAAGCTGTAGTTTCTGTTCTAGTTCGGGGGATAACCAAATGCAATGACAATTCGCTATGATGTTTGGGGGAATAGATGGTTACCCTCCAGAAAATGACTAGTACGAACCTACTGCTGAAAATCACATACTTCCGTCATAAAACATGATAGAAAATCAAACCAGTACATACCTTTAAATGTGAGTAGTAGAACCCAGAGAAAGTGCAGAAATCAAGGAAGTATAAAAGGACAGAGTAGGGCAGCTCTACAGAAGGAAATTGGGGTGCTATGAAAGGGAAAATGGAAAAAAATGGGAGAGGGACTTTAAGTGGGGAAGAAGAAGAGAAGAAAATACAGAGGGAGAAAATGGAGGGAAAAAAAAAACAACCTTGATAGGGATATCTCTGTCCAAGACACCTGGGTTTCAGCTGCTGGTGTAGCCTAAGTGTGGCCTACCATTCTTTCCCCACTGTCCCAGAATCATCCCTCAGGTGCTGGCCTGCCCACTTGTGGCAGGGCTCCTGGATAGCTCTGCCCTGGTCTTTCTGTCTAGAGCAAAGCTCTGGCGTCAGCTCAATGGAAAAAGGATGGAAAAGTCCACCTCAAAATAATGATGTTCTGAACCCACTTCCAAAAAAACAGCTCAGTGTTTTTGCATTTTGGGGGAGTTCTAAATAGAAATCCAAACATAGGAAATATAAGAATGATTACACTGCTTGATTTGTGGAGAATTTACATCTAGTTCCCCTGTGGGGTTAAGTTATCATCTTTGTTCAGATCAGACAAATGCAAATTAAAGACTCTAAGCCAGTTATAGTTTTTAACTTTATTTTATTTTTGGTATTAGGAGATGAGGAGAAATTCAAAGATCAATCATACAGACTTATAAATGAGGAGGAAGTGTGCTGGTTAGTGTACTGGTTAGTTTTTGACTGAAGGGTACTTCAGTCAAGAAATTTTCCTCCATCAGAGTGGTCTGTGGGACACTATTTGATCTCTAATTGGTGTGGAAGGGTTCAGACCATGGGCAGTGCCACCCCTGGGCAGGTGAGGCAGGACCATATAAGAAAAGTATCGTGCTAGCGAGAGGAGGCAAGCCAATAAGCAGCCTTCCTCCATGGCCTCTACTTCAGTTACTCCCTGAGAAACTTCATGAGGTCCTGTCCTGACTTCCCTCAATGATGGATGGTAATATGGAAGTGCAGGTCAAATAAACTCCTCCCTAAGTTGGTTCTGGTCAGTGTTGTGTTACAGCAACAGAAATTAACTGGAGCAGATAGTATCTAAAAGCAATAGTCACAGAATTGTGCTTTAATCTAAACCTAACCCAAATAACTGAGGATAGTCCTCCTTTCTGTACCAGAGTGTAATGAAAGAATCCCTCCTCATAACAAGCTGCCAAGGCGAGTAACTTTTCTAACCATTTTCTGAAAGGCTCAAAACCTTCCGATGGTGGAATTAGAGAGAATTAGGAAGCACCAAGGGCACCAAAGTCTTAGTTTGCTAAGATGCCAGGGACTCCACTGCCAGATACCTGCCTCTCATCCTAGACTGCTTTGCCAATCATTTTCACCATTGTTGACTTTGCTCAACAGAATGAACGAGGAAACTCTTGATGCTGCTGTTTTCCCTCACTGTTAAGTTTCCTCTTTTTTTGTGATTTAATGCTGAGGATCTGAGTGGCCCATCTCAACCCACTATAGGATGAAGCCTCTCCAAGTTCCAGGAAATCCCTCTCCACCTCTAGAAATCTCATTAACGAACACACTTGTCTGATGAAACTCTAAAAGAAATTGATTTGAGGAAGCATAATTTCAGTTATATACCAAATATTTCATCAAAATATGATTGTCGTTACAAATATAAACCTTAGTATGATTAGTATCAATGTTAGAGTAGGACACACACACACACACACACACACACACACACACACACACACGAGGAAACTAAAGGAAGAAAGAAAATAGCTTTGATTTGCTTTTGAGTAAAGAAATTGTTACTGAATTTATTTAGCAAAATTTTAAACCATTCAGCAGTCTTAGGAGCAAAATTAAATTGTTAAAGTTGAAGTACCAATTATATCTGTATTAAAATTAATACTTTACTTAATGTCATGATTTCAAAGAATTCATTCAAAAACAATGTTAGTAGAATTCATCAACCTCACCAGCGTGGGACTCACTCATCCACGATGCTTTAAATTCTGACCTTCCTACTTCTCTTGGCTCCTCTGGGAAATAGAATCTAACTTTCAGATCACTTGACCACCTACTGGCCACCAGTCTGTGGCTTCTTTACCCAGACATCCCCAAGGACTCCTCTATACTTCCTTGCAGATGGCTTCTAAGTCATAGCCTGGCCAAGTGCATTTCATCCAAATGGAAATCTATTCAGAGAGAAACTTATGGTTGTCCACCCCATAAACTGCCTGGGAGAAAAGAGCTTGCTCAGATCTCAGCATTGTGTCTATTTGATATTTGAATGATATTTGAATGAATGAGTTAGAACAAAACAGAATAAAATTGGGGGGCTGAGGAATAAAACATGGGCAAAATACTGGTCATGCAAGCATGAGGACCCAAGTTCCTATCTCCAGCACCCATATAAAGCCCAGTGAGTGTATCAGTACACGTGTATCACAAGGGGCTGAGAAGTAGAGATAATAAGTCAGCTAGCTACCCACTAGTGGAATCATCAATCTCAGTCTCAAGGGAGAGACACTGTCTCAATAAATGAGCTGGGGAGAATTGGATGAAGCTTCTGATGTAAAGCCCTGGCCTCAACACTCACGCATATACATGCGACTGTGCACACACATTGCACTCACATCTATTTGAACATGTCTACACACATACACAGGCACACACAAGTTTTAAATGTGAACTTATAATTTATAGAGCTATACATATATAATTATTCTGGCAGGAAGTCAACATACTTTGGACCAGCTGGTTCTGCCATGAATTAGTTTTGATATGTTCAGCAGGCCGTCTCCTTCTGGGCCTCTTCTACCCTCAACAGTATAGGAATGAATGGAACTTGACCCTTGAGGGCCTCCCTACCCTCTGTAATCTCAGAGCTTTCACTCAAAATCATAACAATATTATCCCATTCCTGGAAGTGTCAATGCACTGCCGTGTTCTTGAGACACCTGGCTCTGTGATGCAGTTAAATGTGACTTCCCAAGCACAGTTCTCAGCTTTCTCTACAGTCATTAAGAAGTGTTTACTCAGAGCTTGTGGCTTTGGAAATCTCAACTATGCTCTGAACCCGAGCAAGAGGCTAACCTTATTTTGAGTCAAGTCATAGTGTGCAAATACCCTCTCCAGAGTCCTAAAACCTTCCCAGTTCAGTCTGTCCTTCATTTGCTCTCCTCCTGTCTCTGCCTCTTAGTTGAGAGGAGTTGTTAAAAATGAAGATGGATGATTCTGTCATTTACTCCCTTCCACTCAGACACTCCATGCTATCTCTTGTGTTGATACTAACATTTTAGGAAGATCTTAAAGAGAATTTTAATATGTCACTTTATAATAAAAATTGAAGTTTTGAAAAAAACATATTCCATAACTTATTTCCCCATAACCAAGTGTAGGTGATATTTAGATATTTTCCCAATTGGAGTACATTTCAGGAGATAGAGATATACTCATTATATATGAATATATATACAATTGATTGAAGCTAATGTTCTGAAGAGCCACAGGCTGAGCTTCCATTCCAGAATAATTCCCTGTATAATAAGAATACTAGCTGGTAAACAACAGCCTCACTTCAGGTTCTGTAGCACTTGACCATTATCAGAGCATCTACTCAAGTGCACACACATAAAATGATAGGGAGACAGTCATGTCCTTGTCTAGCCTGCCCTCCTGAGCATTTGTTGTGCAGAGCCCTTGGGTTATGCTGTAAGGCTGGGGAAATTCTTGTCTGTGTCTCCTCTTTCTCCACAGCCCCGCCAACTCCCCACATCATTTGCTATATAGGAGCAAACAATTATATTAAACATTGCTTTTCACTTTCTGGAGAAATTCCCTGCACTCTTGAGTTTGCTATACCTTGAGAAAGAAACTTAATTGAATGCATAACATTTTGAATCTTCCAAAGAGTCACCATTGAGGTCTCCTTTCTCTATTCCCATCCTCATTCCTGATACCCCATTAAGTGAGCCAGAGACATTAATTTCCACACTGTGCATCTGAAAGCCTTTCAGATTGCAGGTCTGTCTCAACACAGGGTACCTGAAGAAGCAGAATAGAGTCTTCACTAACCACCAGTGGGAGGTGTGTGTGTGTGTGTGTGTGTGTGTGTGTGTGTGTGTGTGTGTGTGTGTGTGTAGGGGGTGGGGTGGGTACCAAGCAGGTTAGCAGAAGCAATCTCAACCTCCAGTTGGATATTTTAAGCCCAAAACCCGAAATTGTGATAAATATAGAAAGGAAGCATTGTTTAAAGAAGTGGAGAGATTACAGTTAAACAGTCAGGCAGTTAGCCTTTAGCTCAAGGTCATATTGTGTAGGAATTTAGGGCTAGGGATTAGAGTTCAGTTTACCGTAGGAATTTGGGTCTGGTCCAGAGACAAGTTTTCTCAAGTATTCCTAGGCATGTTTT